TCTTCTTTGTTTTGGGGCTGGAACATTATGTCTGAAGTGAATTTGATGTTGTGAGTTCTGATAGGAATTTCCCAAATTCAACAATCCCTCCAAGAAATCCAGCCATTCCATTTACAAGCAGCTGCTTGCAGGAGCTGGATCGTGTGCTTTCGGTGAAGATGACACAACAAAGCGCTTTCACTGGGAGGGGGAATAATCGGTGGGAACCCTGCTGGAGACCCCAGGAAACAACACACTAAGCGGGACCCTGTGTAAGCATCTGTTGGATGAGACACAGCAGGAACATATCCACGATATTCATTTCACCCATTCACTAGGAGAGTCTCTGATAAGAACTGCCGAGAAAACACCATCACCAACTAAAAGAATTGGTGATACAATCTCCCACAATCGCATGGAACAAGAAGCTATATGAATGGGAGTCAGTTTCAAGAATTTTAAGAAAATAATAGTGAAAAAACTTCAGACATCTGGGAGCAACCGCATGTGAGGCTCTGGTTGGTGGCCTAGTGAGCGCTCGCTCAGAAGGACAGAACAGGGGATGAGTCAAGTCAGACCTCACGGCACAGGGAGCTTAATACCAAAGGGCAGCGAAGGCGCCTGTCCAAGGAGAGGCTTTGCACAACCCGGATAGAAATGCTGCTGGCATTTTTATTCCTCATGGACACCTGGTCACTTGTAAACAATATGGTGAAGCAGCTGACAGATGTCCCTTGTGCTACACAGTCATCGCTTTCAAGCAAAAAAATGTCTTAATCTAACTCCGGAGTAAGCATGTTAGGTTCTCTTTGATACCTAATGTGTGATGTGAGGGAACCTGAAGTAATCAGCCCTGAATCTCACCAGCCTTTGCTAGCAAGTTGGGAAAAAAAAAAAAAAAAACCTCACATGCAGCAGTGTTTCATTTGCTGAGTAAAATTTGAATTTCTGGATTTTTTGGGTTATTAGCTGTATTATTTATCCAATTTTCAATTAAAAATCAAGGCTAAGAAGCATCATATTGGAACTTCATAATATGTATTTGTAGTACACTTAGTGTAAGCAAACTAACATTTCATTCTTTTCAAATAGGCTTAACAAATGGAGTGTTCTGTATAAACATGGAGATTATAGTTAATCTCCCCCGTAGATTATAGTTAATCTCCCCCGTCACATAATTTGTTTTGTGTGAAAAAGGAACAAACTGTTCCACAGTAGTAGAAAGAGGTTATTTTTAGGTGTTTGTCTTTGTGTTTTAGGATTCTGTCCATTTTCTTTTAAAATTATAAACACCTACTTGTATGAATGATTTTAAAAAGTGACTCTGCTATTTCTGAAAGGCTATTTAATGACAGAATCCCATCCAGCCATCATGCACGGACATAGAAAGATGTTGGAGATCAATTAAGCATAAAATGCAAGTGGCACAGCAGTGTGTATGACAGGAACCAAATCAAGCTGTATGTTTTGTATCTGCACAGAACAAAAGACTTGGACAGATGTATGCAACAAATTGTTAAATCTGTTTCTCTTGAGGGATTGGAAGGGTCCCTTCACTTCTTTTTTCTTAAGATTTTGTTCTGTTTGAAATTTTCGTAAGTATGTATTACTTTTAAA